TGACCAACTGAGCTATAACAGAACAATAAAAGAAATAGGAAAAAAAAAACAGGAAACAAACCTTTTTGTGAAAATTGGTTGTAGGAGTAGGAAGCTAGGGGACTCATTCTAAGTCTTTTGGGAGGAAGAAACAGGATTTTATCAAAACTACATAAATCATTAAGAAGCTGTATGTAAACCACACAAACACAAAGGTAACCTTTCATTTCAGGAAAATCCTTAAACACTTTTATATAGCAATCTAGAAGTGATGACCTCCAGAACTGGGACATAAAAACCTTTGAGTTGCTTAAATATTTGGCCTAAGACAACTTCTGTAGTCCCAGATGTAAATAAAATTTAACAAACTTTCTATAAACTACATCCAAAAAAATCTTGAGATTTAGAATTGTTTTTACCTCAGTAGAAAAGTTAAATACCGGATCATAAAAGAATATTGAATACTGAAATGCTTTGTTAGAATAAAATCCTGACTGACCAAAACTAACCTGTAACATACTCAAAACTTGAAGGATGTTTTGGCAAGTTCCTTATTTTATACTCTTCTTAATAGAAAAGAATTATTTTTTTTTGATTATCAAAATGTTTACCATGCCCATGTCTAGAAATATAACCAATTCTCTTCAATTAAAGCAACTGAAGGACTTACAGATTAATTCCATTAAGACCATTTGAGAACCAACACATTTTATATTAATAATGGATCACTGCTTTACAGTTTATTTTTGTGTATTGATAAAGTCAATCTTAATTGCAAATTCAAACATCCCCACTGAGAGAAAACCTTCAGTTGAAAAAGCAAGAGAACAAAATTACAACATACCAACACAATCCTCTTGTTTGTTTTCAGCTTGACATCTAAGACAGGCATCTAAAAGTAAACAAACAGCAATTCTCATTCTGATGCTCAGAATGCAATTTTTAAAACCCATACACTTCAAAGTCAAATAAAGGCCCAAAGGGTTAGAGATGTAGATTAAAAGACTCATACTATTAATTTCTCATCTGAACATAACTGCTTAAAGATGAATAAAGTACAAGGCACTCTACTAATTTACTTATGACCATGAGCAATTTCACAAGGGTTACTGACCCTCTATTTTTACAAGCTCTGATGAAAAGACCTTGGATGTAACCACCAGAGAAAAATATGCTATACTCCACTATATTAGGAGTTATAAGCTCACTGGGCATGTTCACACAGATCAACCTTATGAGCAGTTTATTTTCAAGACATCCTTTTAAATAAGCCATGCATATATATTGTATTTGCTTACACACAGATAGAAACTCTAGAATGATATCCAAGAAACTAATAATAAAGTTTACCTGGGAGGGGATGGAACGGGAAGGAGTTTTCACTGTGTACTTTCTCAAGTTTTTAAGTTATGTGACTGTATAATCTCTATAAAAATTAAATGTAAAAAACTCCTAAATACTAGGTTCTCTTTTTTTCTTTTTAAGGAAATGCTCCCTCTGAGCCCAAAGCATTTACCCGACAACAGTAAAATATTTTAATAAATTACCTGGGAGAAAACATGAGGAATGGGAACCAAAAGGGTATACTAGAAGTTTTCAAAATTGAATCCGTACTACTATTTGTTTGATGAAGGAGGTAATATAGAATATTTTAGGAACCAATGAAATGGACTCATTCACTAGCTGAAAGGAGTCAAAGTTGGGTAAAAGGAAGTTCAAACCAACAGAAAAAAATAGTTTTTAACATAAATTGGAGGAAAATAATTCTGTAAAAATAGAAACACGGTGGAGCTGAAGCCTGCTTCTCTTCTTACACTGGATTATGCTCAGGCATTTGTTTGCTCCTCTCTGCGTGCTCTCACCCTTAAGAAAACACACCACCCTGGCCTCTTCAGTGTGGATTAAAAACAACCACCGCCTCCTGAGGCCTTCTTCAATTCCACAATTACTGAGTATCTACTCTGGGCAAAGAGTAATACACTGCCGACACCAAAATGACCAAGTCTGGGTCCCTGGTCTCACCAGTAAATGGCGAGGTAGATAGGCAAACAACTAAATATCATAAGGATCATGATATAAGGGTGAAGACATGGCTCTGGTTCTGTGTAATCACAGAATTAGAGTTCATGGTCCCAACTGTCTCTTTTACAAATTAGGAAAACAAGGCTCCAAAAAGTTAGCTCAAACGTCCACGTTAACATACAGCTGTGGAAGGTTACTCTGGCTCTTCATAACTTGACAGCACTAGCAAACCTGGTCGCCTCTTCCTCACCAGTGCTTGCTCGCTGTGCCATCTGCTCCTTTCAGAATGAAGGGGGGAGAGTGGAAACCCAGGAAGAGAGTGTTAACTACATCAGAGTGGGCTGGCAGGCAAATCTTAGATCCAGAAGTCATAACCAATCATTTAGGCGTGTGAGATGAATTCCAAATATAAAGGACATGGGATTAAGTGGGCTCTTTGTATAATCTAGAAGTCTCTGAATTATGCTTATAGCTTGGATTTAGATTCATTATCAAAAACTGACCTAAATGGCTAAAAATGACTAACGTTGCAGATAAAGGAAAACATTTTCTTTTGATGATGTTCCTAATATCTAAAACAGCACATTTCTAAAGAGTATAGTAACACCTTTCAGAATGATGCTAAAAAACAAACTTCCTTCTGCTGTCACCTGACCACTAAGTGGATTTTAACACCTCATAAACAAAATACAGAGGTCTAGTCCAGAAAACTTTCCTGAACCCAAAGCACAGCTGTTGTAAATCTGTAACATTAATCCACAGTAGCAGAATACTTGCTATAATTAGAAAGTTAATGTGAACCCTGAGTCATTTACAGCCCATACTTTGACTTACTTTAAATATCCCAGGGAAGTTTATTTCTTGCAAAATTGCAACCATTATTTTAAATTTTGCATTTCTGTTTACTATTTTAAAATTTTTCTTTAGGGAGAAAAATAAAATGTTCTTTTAGGAAATTCTTTTTTTTAAACTAAAGGAAATTTAGGGGATAAAATTTTTAACAGTTTGTCGTACAAAAGAACAAAAATCGCCCGGATAAGTGAAAAATGTCACTCAAACTGGAAATTATGATTCTAGTTTTTAAGAAAGGGGAAGGACAAGGGAGCTGTATTGCAGGCCAATAAACTAGGTACTTTTAAAACACAATATAAGCGGATCACATCTGAAATCAAGCTCTTTTAAAAGTAAAAAATGTTTGAATCCCATGGTTGTAAATTCTCTTTAAAACAAATCCTTATGAATAAAAAACATAAGAGCATACTACAGAGACAGTAAATTGAGAAATCGCTTGATTCTGGTAGGTTTCAATTTTCATTCCTCAAGAAGGGAGAGCAATTTTTAAGTTATTTTCTCCAATTCTCTCATTTTTCAGTGCAAGACACAAAGATTTCAAACTATAGAAACCTCAGTGTTCTCCAATTACCTTCAAGAAACAACATTTAAGGCTTCCCTGGTGGCGCAGTGGTTGAGAGTCCGTCTGCCGATGCAGGGGACATGGGTTCGTGCCCCGGTCCGGGAAAATCCCACATGCCGCGAAGCGGCTGGGCCCGTGAGCCATGGCCGCTGAGCCTGCGCGTCTGGAGCCTGTGCTCCGCAACGGGAGATGCTCTTAAATGCAGGAGTTTTAAATGCCCTATTTAAAAACATAACGTGCATTTCAAGAGCACCTCTTCTTCAAGGTGGTCGGAGATCTTAAAACATAAACCATATAAAACATAACGAGATGAAGCTGTTCTAAAAGGTTTCACTTGGTTCAATATTTTTATTAAAAATATCATAGAAAGAAGTAACAGTTATTTGTAAAAGAGGGTTTTCCATAAAGGTCTGACTTCAGGGCACTGTCTTCTCCAAGAAATGGCATCCTATGATAGGAAGGGACCACGAAGGAGATGAAGTTTTATGTTTCTGAATAAAAGGGCTTACATCCTTCCCGTTCAAGCCAAGCGAGTGCTATCTGACCAGTCTCGAATCATCCAGCTTTAAAAGCCAGCAGAACAGTAGCCCATCCAGAAAGGCAACGGCTAGGAACATTTTTCTTCCCTGCGCCTCCTCAGAGCACGGCTAGGGGTCGTTTTTGTGGAAGATGACTCCAGAGCATCACTTTGTTGTGTGTGACCAGAACCACTTTAGTGACCCGCTGACTCAGGGCCTTGACCCTGACCTCTCTGCGATCTTTTTGAAAAGGGTGCCGTAGCTGGCCACACAAACCGAAGTGGTTCCTCTCAGCTCCCATCAAATCGCCTACTTTTATTGTTGTGATCACACCCATCATTACCTGAAATTACCTTGTTTAACTGCACTGCTTACCACCCATTTCTTTCCCCAGAATACCAGTCCCCAGCGCTGGGCGCCTGCTGAACGACCCCACGGCCCCTGGCGGCGGCCGCAGCCCTCTGACCGGCGACAGCTCGGGCGTGGCCCGCGGTCCCCGGGCACCGGGGCAGGGCGACCCGCCCCCACTCCTCCAGGAACAGTCTCTCCGAGGCTCGGTCTGTCCCCTACGCCCGGAGCCGGGCCCGCGGAGGCCGCAGCGCGGCCCGGGCCTCGCGTGCAGCGCTTACCCATCACCTGGACCCTACAGATGGCGCACGTATCGCACTCCACGTCCCAGCTCCACATGGCCACGGCGTTCCACTTCTTGAGAGAGAACATTTTGTCGCCTCCCGACTTGGATCCTGCGCTCCCGGAGTGAGAGGACAGGGCGCAGGGCTCCTCGCCGTCTTCCACGTCGGCCATGGCGGCGGCGCGAGGCCGGCGGCGGAGACGTTGGGTCGCGGGAGGCGGGAGGCTATGGCGGCTCCGCGGGGCCGCCCGACGGGCCACAGCGCCTCCCGCAGGCCGCGGGCCACCGCCGGCCCAGGACTGGGGCCGCCCGCGATTGGCTGGCGCGGCCGAGTGACGTCACGGTACGTCAGCGCCCGCGGCTTCCCGGTGCTTGGGTGTCTCGGTGTCCCGGGGTATCAGCGACCCCGCGCCTGGCCAGCTCAGGGGCCTGAGGGGCCCGGGACCGACTCAGCACAATGGAGGGTTCCACTGCGCATGAAACACGTGTCCTGCTTTATGCCTTCATGACACTTACCGCTCTCAGAAGTTGTCTTGATATATTCGTTTGCCTCCTCCCTCCCAAATGTAAACGGCATCGGAGCGGGCTCCACGTCTTGATCACCACCATCTCCTCGGTATGTAAAAAATGCAGCCTCAGGAGGGGCAGTTATTTGTTGAGTGAATGAATGACGGTCTAGGAATCTGGTTCAACGGTTCTGAAACTTTATGGTCTCGCGACCTCTTTACACTTAAAAATTATTAGGACATTAAAGAACTTTTGTTTTTGTAGGATGGATGTATACATATACACAATCATACGTATATATTTCCTTTTTAAGAAAACAGGAAAAAATTTAAATGTATTTATTTAAAAATAACAGTAAGAAACCCATTACAAGTTATCCTTAGAACAGGAATATCGTGCACTCACAAGAAAGAGTGAAGAGAAATAGCTGTGAATATTGTTATCCAAATAGTTTTGACCTTGTTGGTCCCCTGAAAGGATCCCAGGAACCCTGGGGACTATACTCGGAGAACCTCTGATCTAGTTTAACCTCCTTTTATACGTAGGAATAATGAGGTCCAGAAAAGTGAGTAACTTAAAGAGCACACTGCCCTTCCGTGAAGGTGACAGTTTGGAAACCAGCGTTCTTCTGTTGCTAGCCCAGGGTCTTATTATTATGTTGTGCCAAGTAAAGCAGATAACATCTCTGTTTAAAAGATAAGAGATAAGAAATCTGAGGCACAGAGAGCGGAAGAAGATGCTTGATTACCACTACCACCTAGTGGTGGACACCTGCTGTGTCAGGTTTGGGACTCAGCCTCCCACCTCTTCTTACTGGGCCTAATCATCCCTTCATCTCCTGATGTCAGGCCTTGTGCCTGGGCCAGGACTACCCAAACTCCAGAAATCTGGCAGAGGAACAGGGATGCTTATGCATTTACATAGTTATATATGTAAAAATATAAATGTGGACACATGGTCACATTTGGCTAGATGCTAATGTGTGCTGTTCATTGAGTGGTGCAGTTAGGTGCTGTGAGGGACAGAAACATTCCTCAGGACGGATGTAGTGAGGGAAAGCCCCATGGAAGAGGTGAAATTTGAACTGGGCAGAGATGGGAGGCCTTGGAGACCAGGAAGTGAATGGAGAAAGCAGACCTCTGCGAGGCTGTCAGCTTGAACAGAGCAGTAATAGTGGTGGCAGATGTAAATCTGACCACAGTAACTTTATGAGCCAGACAAAAATACCTGTAAACAAACCTAGATGAACCATCCAAAACACATTTCATTCAATTAAGCTATCACACATCTGACTAGAGATGGCTATAAATGCTAGATAGTTAAAAGAAGGCTGGAACCAGATGAGGATAAAATGCCCCCCGTTGGTGGGAACTGGGCAGTCTGAAAGAGAAAAGGAGGGACCTCACATGAAAGGCTAGAGGATGATTAAGAAGGAGAAATGGCACATGCCCATGCTGAATCTGAACCTGATCACCCTGCCCCTGGATTACTGTGGCCTGACTTCCTTCCTGTCTCTCCTCCCCACTCTAGCATTCAATCTAAAGTGCCTGTTTAATTTTCCTCTGTCCACTTTTCCACTTGGCACTCTGCTGCTCAAAATGTTCCGTGGCCCTGCATTATCACTAGAACAAAATCTAAATGTGCCAGTTGGTCCCTTAAATCCTGCCACCATATAGCCCCAGTCTACTTTTCCAGTAGTCATCCCTAAGCACTCCTCACTGAGACTGTCATCAGATTAGTCGTCTCAGTCATCCAAACACACCCTGGACTGTCGGGGTTTTTTGCCCCTCACATTGTAACATCTCTGAAATTGGTCAGAACGTCTCCCTTCCTGCTCCGGCTACATTGCTTCTGAAATGAGGAAAAATTCACTTATCTTTGTGTCCGTACTGACCACTCTTTGCCACTATTTATTCATTCCTCCCAGAAAAACCATAGCACTTAATTCACTCTTTTGGCATCAGGTCGCATAACAACCCAAAAGTGCTGTTGCTGATGTTTATCAAACAATTTTAAGGTTTTTAAATTGACAGCTCATAAATGATAAAAACCTTAAAATAGGAAAATGAGTATCCAATGGAAAAAAAAGCAAGTACTGTTAATGGACTCTCCAGAAATTGCTACGTATGTACTGCAGACACATAACACATCAACTCATTTAAAAACTTTTTAACTGTGGTAAAATACACATAACATAAAGTTTACCATCATAACCATTTTTAAGTGTACAGTTCAGTAGTATTAAGTACATTCACATTGCTATCAACCAATGTCCAGAACTTTTTTATCTTCCAAAACTGAAACTGTACCCATTAAACAACTCACCATTTCCCCCTCCTCCCTCTGGCAGCCACCATTCTCCTTTCTGTTTCTAAGTTTGAGTAATCTAGGTACCTCATATAATTGGAATTATATAGTATTTGTCTTTTTGTAACTGGTTTACTTAGCATAATGTCCTCCAGGTTCATACATGTTGTAGCATGTGTCAAAATTTCCTTCCCTTCTAAGACTGAATAATATTCCATTGTATGTATTTACCACATTTTGCTTATCTATTCATCCATCAGTGGACACATGGGTTGCTTCCATCATTTGATTATTGTGGATAATGCTTTTATGAACATAGGTGTACAGTTATCTCTTCCTGATCCTGCTTTCAGTTCTTTTGGATATAAACCCGAGACAGGAAGTGGGTAGGGCACAACCTTTAAAAGAATGACATAGGGCTTCCCTGGTTGCGCAGCGGTTGAGAGTCCGCCGATGCAGGGGACACGGGTTCGTGCCCCGGTCCGGGAAGATCCCACATGCTGCGGAGCGGCTGGGCCCGTGAGCCATGGCCGCTGGGCCTGCGCGTCCGGAGCCTGTGCTGCGCAACGGGAGAGGCCACAACAGTGGGAGGCCTGCTTACCACAAAAAAAAAAAAAAAAAAAAAAGAATGACATAGCCCAAGGGCACGACATAAACTGATTAGAACCAAATAGGTCCAAGATGGCTGAGTCAGTTCTACTTGACCTTGAGCATCAGTATATGCTCATTGTAGCACATCAGCACACTAAATGACACACCCCAGCTTCCATGGCAGTTACAAGGACGACCACAAAAGGTCAGAAAGTGAGCAGTGGCCCAGTTACTGGAAATCCTCACCCCTTCCCCAAAATGGCTAGAATAATCTCCCACTCATTAGCCTATGAAATTACCCACCCCAATAAAAACTGACAGCCCCATACCCTCTTGCCTCTCTTGCCTTCCGAGATGCCACACTCTGTCTGTGGAGTGTGTATCTCCCTGAATAAACCTTCTTTCACTTTACTATGGCTCACTCTTTAATTCTTTCCTGTGTGAAGCCAAGAACCCACACTTGGCGGCCATTCCAGGGACTCACCTGAGACCTGGGATGGGACCCTCCTCTCGCGCCCTACTCTCTTTTCTGCAGCAAACCCAGAAGTGAAGTTGCTGACTCATATTAATTCATTGCTAATGTGAAATTGTCACATTTTATTCTCCAGGCTGCTCTTTTTGTTCAGTAGTATGACTAGGGCATGTCTCCATATAAGCACTTTCATATCCACATTATTCTTCTTCATGGCTGCATAGAATTCCACTATATACATTTCCTGTGATTTATTTCTCTGAGAACCAGTTGAGAGACATTTAGTTGTTTCCAATGTATAATTAATAGTGCTGCAGTGAACATCTTTATACATATTTCCTTGCACATATGTGAGAATATATATATATATATATATATATATATATATATAGTACATTTCCAGAAGTAGTATGCCTGCGTTAAGGCCATGTATTCTTCACTTTGATAGACATTGCCAAAAGACCCCTAAATAAGCACAGATTTTACACTCCCAACCAGTGGATGTCGGTGGCAAATCTTTAAAAAGTTATTATTATTATTTTTTTGAGTGGAAACAATTTCTCAGGAAGCCTCACACATTGGATATATAAGTTCTAGAGATTTGTCAAATTGATGTCACTACCCTATAGGCTTCCTTACCCTGACTAACGATTTATACTGTTTCAACTCATGCTCTAATGTTTACTTTTAATGTATGAGGATCTTCTCTTCCTTGCTAGATGCTAAGATCCTCAAGAGTGGACATAATTTACTGTAGTCATCCTCACCTCTACAATTAGTTTGGTGCCTGGAACTTGCCAGCAATTGTTACATTGTACATAGAATGAATGACAGTTTTTGTTTTTAACTTCAAAATGGAGAGATCTTAAGTGTTTTTTTTTCTATTGTTCTTGTGTAGCTATTCTAAATGAAATAACTGGAATCATCAATTCTAACAACACTAATACCAGCCATTAGTATTTTTTGAAAACATACTATGAAACAGGTATTGTCCTAAAATACTTGAGATGTGTTACCTCATTCAATGCTCACCAAATGAAATAGGTGCTATTCTTATCTGTATCTTACATAAGGAGAAACTGAGGCACAGTGAGGTTAACTGACCTGCCCAAAGTCACCTGTAAAGCAGCAGGTTTCCACAGAGAATTCTGGTTCATCTAGTTGCCCAATCTATGCTTTTTATCCCTGCATCATGTACAATTTAACAAATCCAATTTATCATCCATACATTGATCAATGACACCTCTTGCATTTCCCATGGAGCTGTCTGAAATCGTAATGAGGGTAGGGGGTAGAGTGAGCAGAAGTTTCCTCATTTGGGAGAAGATCCCCATTTTTAGGGATGTTGTCTTTTAGAAAATGGTTATTATTTCCCCAAATTCCTATTGTTCCCAACCATAGATATATTTATGAAAGAAGAGTCTTTCTTTCTTAAAGATCATGACTTCCTTCAAATTATAAATTTCACATGCACAAGAGAAGAATCCCACTTATTTTTACTAAGGCATACTTGTGAAACCCACATTTTAGAAAATGACAAGCGTGACAGAACTAACACTACTTTAAACGTTCATAAAAGAGTCTTATCAAATTTTAGAACTTGAAAGGGGTTTGGTTACAGTGAAAAATATTATAGAACAAGCAATATATTTCCAGGCATGGCCATGGAAATAGATAGAATCCATATGGTTATATGGTGTCCATATTCAGTTTTTAGCCTGTGAAAAAATGAACAGGAAATCATAAATAGAAAAAAAGAAAAAAGGAAGTTCAACTTTATATAGTAGAGAGTAAGCATATGTAAACAATTACCCCCCCAAGAGGTAGCACAGCTTCATAAAGAGTTTAGGTAGGGTTTCCCTGGTGGTGCAGTGGTTGAGAGTCTGCCTGCGGATGCAGGGGACACGGGTTCGTGCCCCGGTCCGGGAAGATCCCACATGCCATGGAGCGGCTGGGCCCGTGAGCCATGGCCGCTGAGCCTGCGCGTCCGGAGCCTGTGCTCCGCAACGGGGGAGACCACAGCAGTGAGAGGCCCGCGTACCGCAAAAAAAAAAAAAAAAAAAAAGATAGTAATTAGATATTGAGATGGAGTTACAGAACAATGAATGGCATGGTGAGAAAGCCATGCACGTTTCAATTCCCTAAAAATATTTCGATCAAAACAATGCATACACATAACTAAACAATTAAATAGGGATTAAAAAGTTTATAATGAAAATCAGCAGACCCTCCCCCTCCCACCTCAGCATCCGCAGCACTCTTCTCTAAGAGACAACCACTTTCAACTCATTCAGCTGTTTTTCATGTTTACTGCCTTACTTCAAAGTACTTCTATATTATTTATCAATATTTCCATTTAAATTTTTACATATTTACTATTGTCACTTTCAGCAAACCTTTCAATAGAGATACATCACAAGTTTTAGTTAAATCAACACATTAGATTCATTGGTGTGATCATACATGTTTTGTTCACAGTGTTTCTTTTTCTTACATAACTTTCTTTTGCCTGATTTAATAGTTGCTCTTTTTTTCATTTGCATAGTTTTTTTATGTACCTATTAGAAATATTTCCCCCAATTTCTTTTATTTCTCACATACATATCGTCATTTCTTTCAAAATACTTAAGCATTTCCAATGCTTTATTAATTCCGTTTTTAATGCTATACTCCCCATTTCCAGAGTCCTCCATTTTTCTGACCCATCTGGACTAGGCCTGACCCTCAACCATCTCTTGGGACTCCCTTTTCTACTTTTCTGTATCGATTCTCCTGATTTCTGGATTCTGCATTCTTTGTCTTTGTGATTTATTCCCTCATTTTGCTCAAGCATCTTCTCTGGAAGCCTCCTGAGAATGGATATAGAGGACGTACGGAGTTTGAGTCCTTGCGAGCTGAAAACATCTTTAGTTTATGCTCGCGCTTGGTGAGGAGCTGGAAATGTGCAGAGTTCTCACAGAGCTGCCATGGCCGTGCTCCTTGCCTCTAGCTTTCAGTTAGAAAGCCTGAGGTCCTTCTGACTCCCAGTCCTTTGTGTGCAGTCTTCTTTCTTTTCATATGTTGTTAGGATCTCCCCTTTATTCCTAGCATTCTGAAATGCCATGATTATCATGCACTGTGCTGAAGACTCAGGGGGCTCTTTCAGTATGCAGATTTATGTCCCTTGGTTCTGGGAAAGTTCTCCATTTATTCCTTTGATAATTCCCTTTTGTCACTTTTCTCTGTTCTCTCTTTCTGAAACTACGAGTTAGATACTGGTGCTCTTAGACTGATCCTGTTGCTCATATTTTCTCACCAGTTTTTCATCTCCCTATCTTTTTTTTTTCTTTTTTGTGGTACGCGGGCCTCTCACTGTTGTGGCCTCTCCCGTTGTGGAGCACAGGCTCTGGATGCGCAGGCTCAGTGGCCATGGCTCACGGGCCCAGCCACTCCGCAGCATGGGATCTTCCCGGACCGGGGCACGAACCCATGTCCCCTGCATCGGCAGGCGGACTCTCAACCACTGCGCCACCAAGGAAGCCCCATCTCCCTATCTTTTGTTCTACTTTCTGAAGACTTTCTTGACTTCATTTTTCAACATTTGTTTTGAAGTTTTTATTTTAGCTATCATTTTCACTTTCTAAGAACTTAAAAATTTTTTTCTAATCTTTTTTCATAGCAGCCTGTTCTTATTTTATAGATACATTATCTTCTGTTTTACTGAGGGTGTTATAACTAATTTCTTTTTAAAATTTTCTGCATTGTCTGTATATCTTCAGGGTTCTTTCATTCTCTTTGTTTCAGGTGTGGTTTCCTGTGTTGGAGAATTGCCTCACGTGTCTGGAGATTCTCAGATTTCTGTTCACAGTGAACCACGAGGATTCCAAAGGCTGACAGGAAGCTCCTGTGTATGTGCAGGGCTTGCTTACCTGCTAGGCTTCTTTGAATGGTGAGGGAGTGTCCAGCTGTTAGCATCTGGAATTCCTTTCTCTGGGGCTATTCAGTTTCTCAAAGAATACCCCAGTCCTCTACATGGCTATCAGCCTTCTGGAAGCAAGGCAGACAAAGAAGGCTTGGGTGAAGGGAAAGGCTGAATCCCAAATGTGTAGAATTTTCCTTACTCCTCCTCTCTCCAGCTTCTCGCCTCACCCTCATTGCTGGGTGTCCTGCGTCTGCTGAAAGGCTGTTTAATCTTTCCAGAGAAAAGTCCCTAATTGGTCTCCCCGCTTCTGCCCTTGCCTCCCCTCCAGTCTGTTTTCAACTTAGAGCTGGAATGGTCCTGTTAAAATGTGGGTCAGATCAGGTCATTCCTCTGCTTAAAATTCTCCGATGCTTTTCCATCTCAACAGAGTTAAAAACTAAAGGTCCCCTGCCCTCCATGCTTACTTCTTGTCTTATTACTTTCCCGTTTTCTCTCACCCCATTCCAGCCATGCTGGCCGCCTTACTGTCACTAGAACACACCAGGTAGGCTCCAGCCTTACGGCCTCTGCACTTGCTGTTCCATTTACATGGAATGTGCATTCACAGATATTTACATGGCTTGCTCCCTCGCTCCTTTGGGTCTTCACTCAAATGTCCCTTCTTAATACAGCTTTCCCTGGCAGCCCTAACTAAAATTGCAGCCCCCAGCCCCCAACATACACACACTATCTCCTTATTTTGCTTTACTTTTCCCTTAAGTATAATCCCCATCTGATACACAATAGTATATATTTTCCTTCTTTTTGAAGTTGTTAGTTTACCGTCTGTCTATTGTTGGTTTGCTGTTACTGTCTGTCTGTCTTTCACTAGGAAGTAACCCCCACGAAGGCAGGAATTCATTGCTCAATTCACCAACATCTAGAACAGGGCCTGGCACCCAAGAGGCATTTAATAAATGTATGTGAAAGAAATAAATAAGAATAACTAAATGAAGTGATCCTGAAGTATTGTTTTGTTTGCTTTAAAAATATTAGTTGAAAAACAACCCTGTAAGATGTGGATAGCAGTTTGTCTTTTTATTAACTTTTACTTAAACAAGTGAGGTTCCTGATGTTTCTGAGGAAGGTTTCATTGTGTGTATTCCATCGTTAAAAGTAGGTCATTAAGAACTCCTTAGTAGGCTAATATAATAACCTTAGGGTGTTAATTTGGATTTCATGAGAGAAGTAGAATTAGAAATTAGCTTGATAACTTGCTAATGATAAGAACACAGAAGCAATCAGAAGAACATTAGTTCTATAATCAGTGATATTACTAATTGCTTTTAATGTTTAAAATGATGTCATTGGGGCTAAATGGCAAGATATTTTCCCTATGAAATCCAACCAGGTAACCCTATTTGAAGAGTCTTTCTTGGTGTTCAAAGCAACAATCTGATTGAACTGCTCCATCAGAAATATCTCAATTATTTTGGGTCAAAATATGGATGCATTAAAACTACGTATATATACTACCACATTTGGGAAAAAACTGACTTCTTGAACTAGAAATTACATTTTAATGTTTTTTAGATGAGTATTTTCAGTTGGTATTTCATGATCATCTTCCTATATGTGCAAATTGAACCATTTACTAAGCAAGCACAATGTTTTGCAGCTCCAAATACATACTCAGTGATAATTATTTTCCATCAAACCATCTGAGACCACCCATCATTAGCACCTACTACAGAGATGGTCAGTAGACTGCCTGCAGCTTTATAATGTCTTCTAGTGCAGTGTGTAATGAAAAAGTTGCTGCAGTGCCAAGAAAAACCAAAAGAAATCATTAACCTGCCATCAGTTTATTGAGCGTAAATTAGACTTAAATTTGAATTCATTTTAACAGAATAATTCTGTTGAGTTTGAATTCAACTCAAATGGACTACAAAGTAGCTGTTCTGTTTCTCTAAAAATAGAGGGATAATCTTAAAATCTTGGAATCATTTGATTGGCTGTTAAGAAATGGCAATACGGTAGTTTTAGTTTAAAAGTGGCAATGAAGTAGACGGTAATATAATTCTCTCTAGAACTGCCAGTGTTAAAAAACTGCAATCTAGAAGTATGTCATGCCTCTAAAACTGTTTTATTATAGAAATGATAAAAGACTGGATGCTTGTATCACTTAATTCTCTCCACATAACCTACCAGATAGTGCACCAAGATTTCTCCCTGCTTTTGTTAACGCTGAATTTGGACTTTCAACTGTGTTTATGATGTCTTTCATTAGGCTTTATTTAAAATGACGTTTCCTCATCTCTCCGTCAGCAGTGAGATTGGCTATTGTTAATTCTGGTCATGCGTATTGTGAAGGACAGGACAGGCGTGGCCAACGCTAAACAGCTTGTTCCATATGTGATTCTCTCATTTTCAAAGGATTACATGATCATAAAACACCGTTAATGCTGTCTCTGTGCCAATCACACTTTAACCATTCTTTGATTATCCAGGAAGCACATCAGAATCTTACGAGGGCTGGTGCTTGAGTTTTCCAGTTGATACCTGGAGAAATCTTTGCAGGTCAGGTTGCGGGGAAGAATAGAGAATGGGAGAGAATTCCTCAGAGAATAGGTGAGGATGAGAGAAGAGGGAGAAAAGAAAGAGCAACAGAGAAATTTTCACTTCAACAGTATTCATTACCTAGATCAAAGACTACATATGACATCCTAAGAGTTCTTGAACTTTGTGCAAATCACAGGGCACATCGACACAATGGTGGCCGGCCTGTGACAGTGATCCTGGTCATCGCTTAGCTCAAGCCACTTATTTAATGGAAGAAGTGGAGCAAGTTGTAAGTAGCGCTGCATTTGGGAAGGAGTAGACGTGGACAGGTGGAGGGGAACACAAACTGAAAATGCCCTACCTGTCTTTCTGGCTCTCAGTGCTTCAAGTATGTCAGCAGCAGCCATTTCTCCCAGGGCATTGTTTCCAAGGTCAGTCTCCCTTAAGTGGGCAGAGTATTTGATCAGGCTGACCAGAGAAAATGACAAAACAAAATAGTGCTGTGTCAAGTGTGGTAACTCAAAGAAACACAGTCCAGTTTCAGAGTATGCTCTTTTCCTTAGTTGCTCTCCACCCTCCCCCACCTCCCTCCCAAAGATGCGGCACTGACCCAATTTGGAGACATCTGGAATCCAGTTTTTTCCCAATTTAATCTCTCTATACTCTGGGTGCCTCTCCTAAGTGCGTCGGTAGGATAAGGATTTTTAGTTGCCTTAAATCTACCACTCATTTATTTATTCAAAGGATATGGTGTGTTATTGTGCAGAGCTTCTCAGTCTTTTAGATTTTACCTACCAGTAAAATGTCAAATAAGTTGTGGGAACAGGCAAATGTCAGTTTGGCACCTTTTAGTATGTCTAATAACTCTCACCTGGCAACACTATAAAAGAACAAATATTTTTATATAAAATTAGGAAGGGCACAGTCTCAAAATAAAGGATAGCTTTTTAAATCAAGATTAGCTTTACGAAAAGGAACACTCTACCTGTCTTTATTTTTCTGATCTCTTTGAGGACTATTGAAAATTCTTTCATGTCCTGGTCTCGGCCTGCCAAGTGGACTTTGGGAATCTCTGGCATTGCGAGTGAGCATGGAATCTGGGTGAAGGCCTCTGTTGCTGGTCAGCTTTTACCTCTTGTCAACCCTGTGATCATGGGCAGGCCATGTGCCTGCCCTCTTGGGTCTTACCTTCCTCATCTGTAAATTTGGCCTCAAAAGGGCAGTTCTACCTATTTCATAAGGTTGTGGAAAAACAGAATGAAGCAGTTTCTATGAAAGCATCTTGCAAAACGCAATATCAGTGATGCTATTAATTCTGAGTTCATACTTACTAAATGCATATTAAGTGCCTAACATTGCAGGGATTCAAAGGAATTTAACACGTGGCCTCTGCACTGAAAGAAATTATCCTATGACCATCAATAAAAGAATTTTGAGCCCTTACCATGTGCTGGGGATATGAAATTTCAGTTAGGGTCAGTAGTGTATACAAGGCCATTCTCTTGCCTCCCGTACACATTTTCTATTGATTGAGCAGCCAGAATTCGAGGCTGGGGCTGAATGGTCCTGCCAGACTCTGCCTCTCGAAGGTCTTGCTCCCAAGGAAACAGTGTGTCTAATCAGCACTGGACAGGCTTTGGCTTCCTGAGCTGCCTGACTATGTCCAATTCCTTCAGACAAGATGAGGGAGAGCAGGGATGCTTCAAGGAGGAGATGGAGAAAGGGGAAGGACAGAAGGAGAGTGGAGAGTGTTGAAGACAAACTTTACAACTCAACAATTCTATATCTAGTCTGAGTCCAGAGGCCATGGATTTTTTTTCCCTTTTCTGTCCATGACCCCAAAGAGGTCATGGATTTAACCACTATGCTACACAGGCCTCACAAGAGCTATGGTTTCATGGAGCATTCACTATGCATCAGATGTGATCATGGCCACCCACATGCTTAAGCAGTTGTGCTTGGCACAAAGGGGCCTTCCAAGGGTGTGAGTGGGGCTGGCAGCCAGCCAAGCTCTGTTTGCCAAGTCCAGGGCATGAAGCATAGACCTGGAAGGGGTAACTTCCTCTGACTCATTGGTGAGAGGTAGTGCGTTTTAATTCATCTGCCCAGAGGGGCTCGTTTTCTAATTCGTATAAAGGTGCTAGCTGGAGCCTTAGGCACTATATTTAACACTTTACATATATGATCTCATTTACCCTGTAACAATCTCTTGATTTAGATGCTATTATTATCCCATTTTTACAAATGAGGGACTGAAATACAGAGAAGTTATTTAGCTTGCCTGAGATTAAATCATGGAGCAGGGATGTGAACTCAGGCAGTCTGTTTGAAAATAACCATGAAGCATGATTCAAATAAACCAAGAAAATGTTTTAACTTTCAGTAGTTCTCAATATTTAAACTTTAAAAAAAGAGAACAAAAGGATTTAGGTATTTAGCGTCAGAACTAAAAAAAAAAAACACGCGAAAGGAATTCTGGCACTGGTGCACCTTGTTAGTGGTATACATCCCTGTTGCACACAGCCAGCGTTGCACAGGGCCCCAGACCCAGAAGGGCTCCTCACTTGGTTTCGTGCTCTGTCATCATCATCTTGAAATTCTTAATAATATTTGAACAAGGACCCATGAGTTTCCATTTGCACTGGGTCCCAACAAATTCTGTAGCCAGTTCCTGCTATCATGTTTAGTGTGGTCAGAGCAGAAAGCAAAATCTGACAAATGGTCAGCTTTAAGTAATCGTCAGCCCTATAGACCACTGTTCGGTGAATTGTGGTCAGAGGGAGGCCTCGTTCATGAGGGGAGAACCAGCAGGGTTCTGCACCCAAACTAGCATTTGGTTCCTGCCTTAAAATCAAAGAAGCCATCGATACTGCCTTTAGGGATAGACTTAAGCAGCAGAGCTAGGTAAAGCCTCATCACAAAGGAAAGGCATGATATCCTTGACCCTGGACCAGCTAATCTGAAGGTGATGCTAGACCCATGTGGTACCAAGGGTGAATAGTGCCAGTAGGCAGACAGGTGTTTAGTGCCCCATAATCTCCATCACCAAATCTTACCCCAACATAAATGCATAAGCATAAGCCACCCCAAGTAAATATTCAATTAAGCAGATCCCTGGAGCTGACTTTGCTAGCAGGCCCCCTGACAAGTCCCTTGCCTCCCCATTCATTCACTGAGCTCCTCCTTTGTAGATACTAGGACCCTCAATGATAAAAGGTGAGAAACCATAAATCTGTTCCTCAAAGTGCTCCTGGAGCCTTTTTTTTTTTTTTTTTTTTTTTTTTTGCAGTACGCGGGCCTCTCACTGTTGTGGCCTCTCCCGCCGCGGAGCACAGGCTGCGGATGCGCAGGCTCAGCGGCCATGGCTCACGGGCCCAGCCCCTCCGCGGCATGTGGGATCTTCCCGGACCGGGGCACGAACCCGTGTCCCCTGCATCGGCAGGCGGACTCTCAACCA